GTTCGAAGAGGTCTGTGTAAATTTTAAGGGCTTCAGAGATTCGAAGGGAATTTAAGATAGAAAGCTTCCCGGAAGCCATCATAAAATGTATACGAGATGCACGAGATCAGCATTGTGACAGCATCATATCGACTAGAATGTTGCATGAATATTGATTGGATCATACAATCGGATCGTTATCACATCTTATGACTTTCCACGATATAAAATCTTGAAAATGGAACTGAGTATCTCATTCATTACCTCATTCATCCAAAATATTGGGAAGAGCATTTCCGAGACATTAGCGAAGCTCGGATACTTCTCGATCGGCCTCAGCCTGAAGTTCACTTGAAGTTTCTTGGAGGCATTCAGGATGGTCCCGGTCAACTGGAGAAGGAAACAGAAGATTCGGCATGAGTCTGGAAAAAAAATTATCTGATATCGACAGTGTGGTGAGTTCAACGATCATAGAAGCAACTGTCATAATAAAGAAATGAATGGAATGCCAAAGTCCTTCCGTGCAAAACAGGTTATGCTGAATCAAGTCCTTGAAGGCCGAGAAAACGAGACTAATGGGGCGAAATAATAGCCAAAACGTTAAGGCATTGGAAATGATATTCTCAACGGAGGGCCGAGGGTGCGACCATTGGGAGATTGCTAGCTCGAAAAGGAAAGCCTCTAGTTATATAAATTCCTTATAATTGAAAACCTAGCAAGACAAGAACTCGATTTATAGTATATGTTTATTTTCAAGGTTTTCAGGATTCGCAGCGATGGTAGATGGTTTTTGTGTCAAGTATTCGCGCGACCAGTCTTAAGCCACAACTGTACCATATGTGAATCCAAGTTCCTCCTTGACAAGAAGCTAGATCTGGAGACAATGCCAAGGACCAGTAATAGAGGAGGACTCGACTCACGGAAAGGGTGCCTTTCATCTCTGTCTATTAACATGGCCGGTGATCCGCGAGCAGCGAACCCAGTGAATGTTGAAGAAAACTCCTAGTTCCTGCTATTGCGATACTTCTGTATTTCTTCCTCCTCCGATCTTTCCTCTTTCACTTTTTCAATGTGCAGTGTGTGGCGAAATGATATCAACAACTTTTTACCCAAATATCTCCGCTCATACTGAAGCTATTCTCATGAAACGTTCGCTATGCAATCTGTTTAGAAACGAATTTAAATTTCATCCGAATTTGTTGCGCAAAGGCAATACCATCAGCAGTTATTGAAAAGAAATAAGACATTGAGAATAGACAAGTGCTCCTGTTAGTAGTAGAGAGGAGGAAACACTTGAGCGAAGTGTTTTCATGAAGTTACTCCCAATGAATATCAAATGAGTCCATGAGCAACGATCCAAAGAGTTTTCACAAATGAACATTTAGAATTTCCCACAGCTGAATTTTGTTTCCCTGAAGGTGATGCAATCATTTTAGCTTCCACAGCAGCACTGCAATATTTTTGGAGCATTTACATATCTTGAGTACTTTGGCCAGAATCTTCGTACTGCAGACAGAACGATTTAAAGGACTTGTGTGGCACTCTACGTCTTAATATAATCATAGTTGCGAGATACATTGCATGCCTATTTCACAGTATGAATTCATCTATGAATTTGGCTTCGCCTTTAAATTGCCAACGTTCGCTCTAGGCTTGCTGCCTGCACAGGATGGGAGCTGATACGTGACTTTCCGAAGAGTATTGGGTCCTCTTCTATTCTTTGCCTTTGACTACTGTACTGTTTCAATTCAGACCGTGACCGAATCAATATTGTAGACGAGAGATGGATTCGCACAGGCTCGAGGTCGACGAAGGTCTGGTGCCATTCTTTCCTCGGCTCCAATCCTTCCACGACGGATTCGTTGAAGTATGCTTCTGATCCTAAGTAGAAGTGCGGCATGGACATCACCAACGGGATATCTATAGGGAGGAAACTTTTAGGAAAGTTATCCCATACACAAGATACGACTTCGACTTCAGAATGCAGCACCATAAAGGATCGTTCTTCAATGGGATTCAAGCATCACGGGTTCTTTTCGACTTACCTCTACATTCGGAGAGATCTAAAACTCCGGCTTTCAAGCATGTTCCATCCGATAAACAAAAGCATTTATTGGCCAGGTTAATTTCTGGGTCTTCGAGAACGTCAGGATCGACGATGAATCGAAGTCCTGGTGTCCCTTGAAGTTCCACGTCCTGCTCGTACGTGAGGTACACCGACCTGGGAGTTGTGTTGCTTTATTGGCCAGGTTAATTTCTGGGTCTTCGAGAACGTCAGGATCGACGATGAATCGAAGTCCTGGTGTCCCTTGAAATTCCACGTCCTGCTCGTACGTGAGGTACACCGACCTGGGAGTTGTGTTGCGAAGGTATTAGCTTGAGCACGTACACAGAATGTGATTGATTGATTCACCTGCATAAGTCCGGGGTGAATACATATAGGACGGAGTTTTCGTCGACGGAGGGGGGAAAGATGGTGCCGTCAGTGCCATTGATCATGTTGCACTCATCTGTCCGCCATGGTTCCTTATAGTGAAATGGCTTCCCTTGCCAGAGCTTGATATCGGCGAAGTCTTCCAGTCCATTTTCTCCGGTGCCGACCAAGTAAATACCGTCACTGCTATCATTCAGCTGCGCAATGGAAGCTTCACTTCATTCAAATTCCATTAGGTGAGAGTTTGATTTTTGCTTTTTATCATTGAGTGACATGCTTCGTGAAATGTTGAGTTATTTCTTGTTAGTCAGTATGCTAGGCTAAGTTGCATGTTATTAACTGAGGCGATGAAAATTCCAAACAAGTACAGGTGCCTTGAGTAAGATTATTTATTAGGACATTATTGAAGCTGTTCTGCCATGGGATTTCAGCATTAAGCATGCACGTCTTACTTGGAGTGGATTGATGTCATTCTCCATGTCCTCTTGGTTGGAAATTGAATATGTAAAGCACATTTCCGAAAGATTCTACCTAGTGAAGACTAGAAGAAAAAGGGTGAGTGCATTAAGTGCAAAAGTGCATTAAGAGAATTTCTATATGCTGAGTTGGCACCATAGCTTCACACGGTACTGTACACGATACAGAGATTGTATGGTGCCATTTTAGAATGTGAACTTACATAAATTCAATTTCCTCCATCCTCAAGTGGTTTTGTGGATGATTTTATGCAGCAGACGAAATTCCCGTGATACGTTCCCAAAACGAAACTGACTCTTCTACTGTCAGAACTTCATGTGCAAGTCAAAGTTTCATATCCTGGCAAGGAATTATTTGAATATTCCGAATTTGTTTTCAGGGTCATGTGTTCACCGCGTGAAACTAGCTTTAAAAATGTCCAAGGCGTCCAAAAGTACTGGCTTAAGTTGAAAAAATGTTTCAATGTCTTCTATAGGGCGTTGCTGTTTGCAATCAATTTCTCGGTAGGTGCACCATGGCTCAATACTGCGATACACCGGTGATATCCAGTGTACGAAGTCGGAAGCTGTGGCGTTTCTCGTGTTCTTCAGTGGTTAGACTGGGCGCATTCAGTTGTAACACGATCTAACTGGGCGAGTCATGACTCGGGACAAGGCCTGCTCTGGCATCTTACAAAACATTCTGAACGCATTGGGTCATTTAACCAGTACGGCGGCGCAGAGGTTCTTAAGTGAAGTTTAATAGCTATTCTGAGTAGTAGCAACAACAGCGGTAGTTGAAATGGGAAAATTGTGAAGTAGTACAGAATGCTCTTCAAGATCAATTACCACTCCAGGATATTCATAATGCCAGAGTTTGGACACACCCTCTTGCTTCTGACATCATGGTGCCACTCGAGATAGTGGCCACCTCAGCCAGCAATAAAAATATTCGGTACCAAATTGGAATCTTCTCGAAGCAAATTTGAGAAGGCCTATGCACTTTTCAAAAGCAAATTCGGAATATTGCAATTCATATGTGCATGGTCAAAGAAAGGAACAGCCGTCGTGATATCCTTTTGCGTCATTCACAGCTACATTCGCGTGTTTCCCAGAATCTGTGTACGTACACTTGCTGCTGGAAGCCTTCCATGGGAGACGCATGTTAGGTGATGACGCAACGGGAATGACTTGATCTCTGAAATAGGGTCATAGCTCGAGACTCGGGTTAGGTTTCTACATCATCATCCGATGCATTCAGTGTTTCGTGCCATGACTCGCGTTATAGCCCTGGTCACAACTGCATATGCCCACTATCTGTGGCTCAGGAAGGTCTTGTACACTTAGCCCGCCCTTGGCGGACATGGATGTTTCAAGCACAAGTGCAAATCCGACTGAAAATCAACGAAAACTTCTCCAAACGCTTTGAAGCTTTGATGAGAACTGTACACATCATTTTGATCATGAGATGCATCTCTCGAAAATGACCGCGAAGATCCAATGTACGTAAAGGTTTTTGGGAAATGTTGAAGTTCTCCTTCATGCCACTAAATGGAAATATGTGTCTCGCTTTTCGCACAGTACACAAAAGTGCCTTCCCTCTTTCCCTAGAATCGTCCCTCACAGGAATGTTTAGTACCTCACCATATGTCTCGTCTAATCTCATTATAGAAATTAATAAACGCGAAAATTTCATTCTTTTTTTATCCCCTAATTCGAAACAAATTCATGGAGCCCAAGCTATAAATAAGCTCATATTCCATATAAGAATCCTTTACTTTCAAAAGGTAAGACTAACCAAAAGTTCTAGAACAGGATCGTGTTGGCAAACACGATCTCCCGGCTCTTCGTCCTGAGGTTCTAATGAGGACACCAGGAGTTTCTTTTATGTACACTCCGTGGCGCATCAAGGGATGGACCTGTACCTGAGCGGTGAAAAAGCGGCCATACATGGAGTTCCATACTTGCAAATGCAGATACGCTCTCATGATTTTGCTTATCGCGGACGTACCATACTCCTACACATTAGCCACACTTGGCCCACAGATGTATTAGACTGGGTGCCACAAAAAATGTGGACATTTAGGTTACGCCCTATGCATATCACATATCATATATGTGCGCCCATGGCGCACGTGTACATGTGGAGCTCGTTGATGTGGGCCAAGCTTGGAACACCTGACTGCGGAGATAAACCCACTTGGGCCGGGGATATGTTGCTGACAGTACCAGCGAGGAGCGGCTGGGGGGGGGGGAATTGCGGGTGCACTAGATACGAACTCCCAGAAAAAAAAACCCCTAGAGAGCAACTCTTTATGTTGTGATGGCGTAGAGCTGGTCGCACATATCTGCGTTATGCCATTCGATTGAAAGCCAGAGGATTCGTTCGTTCCAGCCCAAATGGATGGATTTCGTTGGTGTAACCAGGAATAATACCGCCATTAAAGATACTGAGAGGACCCAAGTCTCGGATCTCGGAGAAAAGAAGCGTCATAGAAAAGAAACCATCTTATCATTGTGCATGGCAACACGTTTCACATAGGTATTGAGTGCTCAGGCTCACCGAGCAGAAGGCATAACAAGGTGCAAGTGTACCCACAAAGGACGGATCTTGGTCCTTGAGTCCGGATTAAATACACTCCGTTGACTTCCAGGAAGATGACGATTTTTCCCGGGTGGTGAGCGTCACCATGAATGGAGATGGGGAATATAGTTGATTAAGTATTTCATTATTCGAAATGCCTCTTAGTATGGCGCCATGGCGGCAGTGATTAAAGGCGATGGCCCTACAGTTTCCATGCCGTGGTGACGGTATGAGAACGTAGATAAAGTCTTGCGTAGCGATTACAAACCTATCTGATCGAGTCTATGGCACTCTAACTAAATCGACCCCATTACATTTCCATTTTTTCATACAACCATGCATCATATTTGCGTTGCATCGATTTAGACCTCTTAACAAAATCTCATCTACTGCAATGAAAGCTAAATTGTACGTATAGCTGGAACTCACACGGTCGTAGTCAAACTTGCCTTACAGGAATTAAATGAGCTCCATTTTTAGGAGGAACTGAGATATTCTTAATTTTTAATGGATGTAAAAACGTTGTTGAACCATCGCAAAAGTTCAAGGTTTGTCCCCTGCTGGCCCATGAAAATTTGTTTGTTTAAATTATCTCCCATTCTTTTCTCACATACAGGTTTTGCCTGACGAAAGCCATATGACTCTTTCCTTTTCCGTTCCTGTTACCTTTATAATTGTAAAATCAGCGAAATGGGAGAGCCTGCTGCTTTCCCTCTCCCCATTTGACAACTACGCATCGTACAAGAGTGAATTCAAATCTCTGGAAGACATGAAATACATCAGCATGAGACAAGAGACAAAAACTGCCAAGTTACTTTCGCCCGGTCGAAAGAAAACCGCAAATAACTGTAAATAGCAAATATATACATTCTTTCTTGGATTCTTTCTTACAATGAAGTTCTTTTAGAACTTCATGCGCCATTTTTACGCCACTCGTCCAGAAGTTGTAAATCCGTCTCGGCTCTTGCCCTGTCCACCCCTAATGGAGAAACCTACTTTTGTATCATCGGCAAATTTGCTGATTTTTCATCCAAATTAGCGTTTCCCAAACTACGGTACGTTACATTGCAAGTAAGGAAGCAAGTGGTACTCAGAGGACGAAAGTTAGGGAATCGCTAATCTAAATCGTTTATGTAAACTTCATATACTGTATTTCATTCCTTCTTTAGATTCATTCGCTAATGTAGGTAATAATGATCTCTCATCTTGCTTATAAACCATTCCAACATGATCGATGGCACATTAGCTGCTTTTTACTTGTACCTTTTCTAATGCAATTAAGATTGCTTGATTCTTTTTCTCATGTTTTAATTCTAATGGGTATCATTTTACGTATACTCACGCGGTAGAAACCGAACTTGTTGTCCGACATTTCAGAGGGTAGATTATCAGGAAGAAGGCTATCGAAGAGATGTTCAGGCATGAGTAAGGCTTACTGAGTAAATAGGTTTGGCATACGATACTGGGACAATACAAGGGCATACATACCATGCGCATATTTTCGCGACCCAATTCGTTACTACCGAACAATAGGGAAGAACTCCCGATTTGTCCTTGGACTGCAGAACCCGATCCGATGGTTTGACTCCGACTGTACCATTAAGAGGTCTCAAATATTTCATTCCTTCGCCAATGTTTTAATAATGTTTTCTCATCCTGCTTAGAAACCATTCCAACATGATCGATGGCACATTGGCTTCCTTTGTGTTTTTACATTTTCTAATGCAATTATGATAGTTTTAAACTCTTTCTCCTTTCTCATGTCTTAATTGTGATGTATATCATTTTATGTATACTCACGCGGTAGAAACCGAACTTGTTGTCCGACATTTCAGGGGGTAGATTATCAGAAAGAAGGCTGTCGAAGAGATGTTCAGGCATGAGTAAGTTTTCGAGGAAAAATGTCCGAAGTGATTCGATGAAAGTGAGATTATATCCTTGAAAGAGGAGCTCTGCGATTGTTTTCCTTAGGATTGGCTTGCCTTCCTCTGTTGACTCCAAAACATCGATGATATCTCCGAATAGCAAGTTGATCAATGTGGCAAATGGCTCTTCCTTAATTTCCTTCAATTTTATCACCAAGATCTGCAAAATATCAACTCGGTTGAAGTACATCAACAACAATAATGCTAAAATATGCTTTCCTGACGAGTCCCTCGTTCCCACCGAATCGGTCAATTTGGTATGAGTAGGTTGCAAAACACGACACAATAACGAATAATAAATAGGAAAAGGTAGAGTTTATATTACGTGTATCTTGGCTCATGCAAAATTCCACATTCATTTGTGTTCATGTATGTTGAAAGACATACTAGAACCTCTTGTTGGTGAAGAGGCGAAAAAAAAAACATTTGGGAAGCGAAAAGTGAGGAAACTTGCAAGGTACCCTGAGTCATTCTATGCGAACTCAACCAGACAGAGCGCATGACCATCACAGATTTCGCGATGAAAATTCTCGTCGGTTCCAGTCAAAGCAAGGACAATGTAAAAAAAAAAAAAAAGAATCGCCTCCTTCGTATCTGCGGTCAGCGGGATATCGACCCAAAATCTTTAGTTGGAAAATGAAAAAAACTCATGAATCGCGAAATTTCCATCTTAGGAGTCATTCATCTTATCGAGGCAAGCAATAGCTCGGACTGAAGCTATTTAATAGGCAAACAATCGCTCCATAAACCCTCGGAGTTCGAATGAGAATTCAACAGGATAATTTAGTTTCAGAAATCGAAATTTTTGGCGATTTTCACCCCCAGGAATCCCTGTTTAGAGGCCAATTTAGGTAAATTTACCATGTCTCTGGTAGCAGCACACTTAACTCCCTTTGTTTCGCCCGAGTGAGGTGAAATTCGGCGCCAGGGGCCTAGCTAATGGCCTGAGTTGATTGCTGCTCTGTGCGAGTTTGAATTCAAGTGCCTTTTTCCCCTCTGCATACATCAGCGCGTGTTGAAACATGCTTTCTTACCCTTTCTAGGAAAGAAACCGTGGCTAAGNCGAGTCTATGGCACTCTAACTAAATCGACCCCATTACATTTCCATTTTTTCATACAACCATGCATCATATTTGCGTTGCATCGATTTAGACCTCTTAACAAAATCTCATCTACTGCAATGAAAGCTAAATTGTACGTATAGCTGGAACTAACACGGTCGTAGTCAAACTTGCCTTACAGGAATTAAATGAGCTCCATTTTTAGGAGGAACTGAGATATTCTTAGGGTGGATTTTTGAACAGAGCATTATCCGATAATGCAGCTTTATTTGAGAGAAAATGCATTATAAATCCGGTAAATAAAGCAGCATTATCGGATAGTTCTCTGTTCAAAAATCCACCCTTAATTTTTAATAGATTTAAAGACGTTGTTGAACCATCACAAAAGTTCAAGGTTTGTCCATGCCGGCCCATGAAAATTTGTTTGTTTAAATTCTCTCCCATTCTTTTCTAACATACAGGTTTTGCCTGACGAAAGCCATATGACTCTTTCCTTTTCCGTCCCTGTTACCTTTATAATTGTAAAATCAGCGAAATGGGAGAGCCTGCTGCTTTCCCTCTCCCCGTTTGACAACTACGCATCGTACAAGAGTGAATTCAAATCTCTGGAAGACATGAAATACATCAGCATGTAACAAGAGACAAAAACTGCCAAGTTACTTTCGCCCGGTCAAAAGAAAACCGCAAATAACTGTAAATAGCACATATACAGGGTGGGCCAAAAAAAAGTGAACCTCCCTTTCAGGGGGTGCTATGTTACTCAAAAATGCTCTTTTTCCTTTTTTGAAGCACTCAAAATGCAGCTGGCTCAATTCTGCACAAAAAAGAATTAAATCTTAACTGTTCTTCCGTCCTTAGTTTGGCATCAAAATGTGTTTGAATGCAATGAGAGGCAAATGGGTTTTCACCGCTCCAGCAT